GCAACTTTGAGCCTCAGGCAAAATTTAAAAATAAACTTAGAAGCATTAGAGTGATTGAGGCTTCAGACACTGTTTCACTGAGGCAAGGATTCTCTCGGTGTCTGTACACGTAAGTACTCACTGTTTTAGAAATATTGACATATCAGAATGAACTGGTCAGTGCCAGGCATGAATGCTTATGCATTTTAATCACCTCAGCACTGGCATGGTTGAAGCCAGCCAGGGTTACATGCACTGTTAAAGGACAGAGAAGAAGAGGGAGCTGGAGAGATGGCTCAGAGGTTAAGAACAACTGACTGCTCTTCCAGAGGACCTAAGTTCAATTCCCAGCAACCACATGGTGGCTCACAACCATCTACAATGGGGTCTTATGCCTTCTTCTTGTGTGTCTGAAGAGAGCAATGATGTACTCATATACATTAAATAAATAAATAAATAAATAAATAAATAAATAAATAAATAAATAAATCTTAAAAAAAAAAAAAAGGAGCCGGGCGGTGGTGGCGCACGCCTTTAATCCCAGCACTTGGGAGACAGAGGCAGGTGGATTTCTGAGTTTGAGGCCAGCCTGGTCTACAGTGTGAGTTCCAGGACAGCCAAGACTACACAGAGAAACCCTGTCTTGAAAAACAAGAAAAAAAAAAAAAAAAGGAAGAAAAGAATCAAGAAAGGAAGAAATAGTTTAGTTTATGGTTCAATTTAGTTAGTCTAGATTACAGCTGTGTGTGGTGGCATGTATTTGTCACCCTAGCACATAGAAGGCTGAAGCAAGAATGCTTCCAACTGTGTCATGTGGGAAACTGGACATCCACCGGCTGGGGATTCAATACTGAGACACTACATTAAAAAAAAAAAAAAGAGGGACTGGAGAGCTGGTTCAGTGGTTAAGAGCACTGGCTGCTCTTTCAGAAGAATTCAATTCCCAACACCCACATGACAGTTCACAGCAATCTCTAACTCCAGTCCAGGGAATCCAACACCCTTACACAGAAATATAACAGGCAATGCACATAAAAATTAAAAATAAAAAAAAAAAAAAGAGTAAGTCCTGATATGGTTACAGATACCTTTGATCCCAGCACTCAAAGGCAGACAGGTAGATCTCTGTGAGTCTGAGGCCAGACAAGGTTACATAGTAGACCTTTACTCAAAAACTTCCCAGAACTTCCCAGAGATTCCCAGGCACGGTGGTGCAAGCCTTTAATCTGAGCACTTGGGAGACAGAGACAGGCTCTTTGAGTTCTAGGCTACTGTGATCTACATAGCAAGTTCTGGGCCAGCCAGAGGTACACAATGAGCCTTGTCTCAAAAACAAATAAACAAACATCTAAGGTATAAGATTAGGTAATTAACTGATTTCAACTACTCATTTTAAATGGCAGTGGCTTTGTCTGGAAACAGGAATCTCACCTATGTTGTATAAATTGGTTTTTAACTCCCACATCCAAGAAATTCTGCTTCAGTTTCCCAAGTAGCTGGGGATACAGGCACACACCAGCATACTCAGACCTAACTGGAACTTCGATGTTCGAGGCAACTTAAATGGCACGTATGCATCTGTATATCCATATCAAAATATGGTCTACCATACATTTTCAACTACCTGTCATTTTTTTTTCATTTTTCATTGTACTTTTCACATACATGACCCTAAAACTTTTTTTTCTTTTTCTTTTTCTTTTGTTTTCCAGACAGTCTTGATACCCAGCCCTGACAGGCCTGAACTCACTATGTTGCTTATGCAAGTCTCAAACTTATAACAATCGTTCTGTCTCGGACCCTCAAGTGCTAGGAATACAAATATGGCCATCACACATGGCCATCTTTTTTATTTCTTTGTTGAGATGAGGTGTCATGTAGCCAAAGCTAGCCTCAAACTGTCTATGTCTCCACTTATTTAGGGCTGATATTAGAGACATGTACTACAATACCCAACTCTAATCCTATACAGTAATTCTTTGATAACTAACACTGTTTCCCAGACAGCTGGGTTTGTTTTGGTTTGTTTGATTTGATTTTTGTGACAGGGTTTCTCTGTGTAGATTTGGCTGTCCTGAATACCAGGCTGGCCTCAAACTCACAGAGATCTGACTGCTTCTGCTTCCTGAGTGCTGGGATTAAATGTATGCATCACCACCGCCTGGCAACAACTGTGTTTTGTTGTTGTTGTTCTTGTTGTTCTTTTCTGGCTTTTGTTTTGGGGCTGTCTCACTATGCAGCTTGGCTGGGATTAAAGGCATACACTATTTCTTCCAGCTTAATTACCGTGTTTTCTTCCTAACTTATCAGTAATTCCCCTACTTTTAATCTTTCAATTCTATAAAGAATCCTGTGGTGAATGCACTCGTATGTTTTGTGAACATATGTAAGGATTTCTAAATCAGTTTCTAGATCACAGACATTATTTATGAAAAGTTACTACACTAAGCCAGGTGCTGTGACACAAGCCTGCAATTCCAGCACTTGGGAGGTAGAGAAAGGAAGCCCTTGCATTCCAAGGCTAGCCTGTGCAGCATAGCAAATTCCAAGCTAATTCTGGCTATGGGATGGAAACCTGTCTCTGACAAAACTACTCTCCTCAAGTCCAAGAGAACTCTGGCATATTTGACATCCTGTTTTAGGTCCCCTGGGCAAAGAGGTGGGACAAAAGAGAAAATGTACAACAAATAAAGACTATCAGAAAAGGTACAGCCACCAGAGCCCCAACCCAAACTCACCAGGATAGACCAGGAAGTCACCACCAAACTTTCCAGCTGCGCTGAGGAAGAAGCCTCTCTCCCATAGGTCTCTGTAGATGCTGTAGCGCAGCTCGTGGGCAGGACGGCCAGCATGGGGCCAGTCTTTGGACTGCACACGCCAGTCCAGAGGCTTAGCTTTCACAGGCCGAGGCCTGGCAGTGGCCAGCTGGATAAGCAGGGCTGATCTGGGCAAGGGAGTCACCCCATTTGAAGGTCCTGGTTGGGGCGATGAAGAATCTGGGGCGGGGGGGTGGGGGGGGGGGATGTACAGAGAAGAATTTACTCAGTCCACACGGTCTCCTTATTCCCAGAAAACCCCAACTAAAATTCTCCAAAGCTTCCCTCCCTCCTGCCCCAAATCTTAATTCTAAATCCAACTCTCACCTGCTCCCTCCTGCTCCGCAGAAGCCTGGCCATCATTACTGGTCTCACTCCCTTGGGCAGCTTCACTTCCACCAGCTTCTTGGCCTTCTTCATCTGCCCTTGAATCCTGTTCCAGCTTCTGCTTCTTGACAGCCTGGCCCTCTACGATCTTCTCTAGGAGCTCCTGACGCCGGGTCTCTCGGGCCTCGGCTGCCAAAGTGCTCTGATCCTGGAAACTCTGCTCTTGCTGGCGTTTGAACGATGCTAGGGCCTGAGAAGTAAACTTAGCTGGAACCCCAAGACACAGCCTGCAGTTCCTTAGGAAGACAGAATCCTGACCCTGTTTACAACCTTCCAACACCGCCTTTCTAGAACAGGCCCACCCAGGCCTTCCCACTATAAGGGCCTTTTGTTTCTTACCAAGCCATGGCTGCGGGGATCCGGACGCGGGACACTGACTAGGGTCACAGCGCCTATCTCGGCCAGGAGCCGGGCTTCTTCAGGCAGCAGCAGAAGCGGAAGGCCCAGGCGCGAGTTCTGGCGGGGCCCGCGGGGCAGGGCGCCCACCGTGCGTCCCCCGACTCCCAGGCGCTCCCGCAGCGCCTGCACGGCCTCGGCTCCCCACACCAGCGAGCGGCCATTAGCGACCTCCACCACCAGCATCTTCCTGCGGAGTGGGGGTGCGTCGAGGTCACCCAAACAGCCCCACGGACCCGACTGAAGTCTTCCACGCCCTCAATGCAAGGCCCCGCCCCGACTTCCCAGGGGGCGGAGCCAGGGCTGCCACCTGCACCGCAGGCCAAGATCTACCCAGGGACCAGTTAAGACCACGCCCCTCACCCAGGTCCCACTGTTTCGCTCCCCCTCAGCTCCAGGTGACCATCATCACTGCCAATGCGTGCCACCACATCTAGTCGCCTCGGAGAGACCTCCCGCCATAGTGGTGCACCACCCTTTTTGCAAAGTGGGTGTCTTCTTTCTGCTGCGTCCGTCAAGTCTCAGACCCTCAATGTAGGGGTGGAGAATTGCTCAAGCCACACCCTCTTCTAAATACTTGGAGCCCAGCCCCTCCCCTTTCGAATTTCCCAGATCTGCCTTTCCCGCCTATTCATTCTGAGTCGGACTTTAAAAGAAACCCAATCCTGTCTTGCCCTAGCTGTTCGATGTTCCAGCATCCTAAATTCGGCTCAATCGGGAGCCCTGCCCATCCCGAACGCCTGCGGGAGATCTCGGCTCAGTCGAATCAGCCATCCCCTCTAAATTGCCAGAGGTTCGGCCTTCGAGCCTAGCCAGATCCCGTCATTCTTCCAGCTGTGGCCCCGCCCACTTCCTACCTAATTTAAGGAGTTCACGCCTACGATTGACTCCACAGTCGCACTCTGGGTGCAGTGCCCGTCGTGGGTCCCCTTCAATCTGTCGTACTGTCTTCGGGCAGAGGCAATAAGTCAACCCCTAGCCAACACCAACTCTCGATTAAGGCGGAGCTGGCCCTACGTAGAGCGTCCTCCGTCATCCCGTCAGGTCAGCAAAGCGGAAAAGGTGAGGGAGCCCTCACCGCCACTCACTACACCAGTGGGACCTTGAGGGTCATTCTCTGGCCTTGCCCCCAAATCTACGAATCATGTAGGCCCCACCCCTTCGCCCTTTTCCGGTCTTCTGTGGCTCCGCCTTTCTCCCCCAAAACAAGACTTGATGTTTCGTTAAGCTATTAGCTCCGTCTGTTATTAAGCCAAGTCTACTGACACTTCTGCCCTCACTGGCATTTGACTGTGACCTGAAAAGCATTCAGCTATCTGAAATAAATCCAAATATGTGACCCCGCCCACATCCGGCTATTCTTTGACTCCCCAACCCTGCCTAATTCCGACGTTCTCCGAAGTAAGCCGAAGCATGTGGTCCCGCCTACTTCGTGCAGCGTTCTTGAGCCCGCCGAACACTAAAAAACGACTTTTGGACCCGATCATCTCCGAAACAAGCCGAAACGTGTGGCCCCGCCTACATCCGGCTGAGTTTGTGAATGCATCTAATTCCGAACCGTGACTTGAGAACTCGGCTATCTCCGAAGTAAGCCGAAGCTTGTGGCCCCACCTCCAAGCCGTGAGCTTGAATGACCGAGTGTGCCCGAAGGAATCCGAAGCTGAAAGTCTGTGTCTTTCCGAACGCCGAGCTCCAGGTCCCTCCTCCTTCTCAAGTCTCAACCCGACTCGAAGCTCTTGGCCCCGCCTTTCTGACCGAAACCCCGCCCCTTCACGTACAGGCAGCTCTTTGCCCGGGGGCCTCCTAGAACGGTCGCGACTGGCTTCTTGCCGCGGACCGGTGCTCTGGGTTCCTTTCTTGCGGTGCTGTATCTCGTACAGCGGAGGCTCTCGGGGCCTGGACTGCGCAGCCCTGCCGGCGCCCTCCAGAACGGGTGGTGCGGGGGCGTGCTGAGCTGGGGAGGCGTGGCCCGAGCCGAGGCATTCTCGAAAAGGGGCTCCGCAGTCTCCTGGTCCACGGACGGTTCAGGTGGGCCCAGATTAGGTTGTATGGCGGCGTCACGAAGATCGTAGGGTGTCGGGGTGCGGGGACAGCGCCCATAGCGTGGCCAGGCTGGGTGGCGTAACCGCCTGTGGATCTACCCTGGCAGAATCGGATCCACGCTGGGCTTCGCTGCGCGGGGCTGGGCTACTGAAGGTGCCTGCAGATCTTAGGGTCATTGCCTTCTCTCTGAGGTACAGGTTAGAGAGGAGCCCAGAGCTCGGAAGACAGGATGCTAAATGCTGGGTTTCTCCGAGCTGGGCGGGGGTGGGAGTACTGGGTTCTTGGGTCCTGTAAGACGCAGAGGAAATTGAGGATCCAGACAAGACCCTGAAGGGTTCCTATGTACTCAGGAGTGTAGGGATGATATAGGTCACTGATAGATCCCTGGGCTATCAGAGAAGAGGGGTCTCGTGAAGGATTGTTTTTCTGGCCAGAAGGTGTGGGTCGTGAGAGTAGAAGTACTTTTGATTTCAACATTGGCAGAGGGGTGGGGTGGGGGCTTGATTCTTGGATCCTGGAAGGGGGAGTAAGCTGGAGGCCTCAAAAGTAGGTGATTCTACTGTCTTCAAAAGAGGAAGAGACTGGAATACTCTCACTGTGTTCTCACTGTGAGTCCTTCCTCCCCCAGACCATGACACCCGAAGAATGGACATATCTAATGGTCCTTCTTATCTCCATCCCTGTTGGCTTCCTCTTTAAGAAAGCTGGTGAGTCAGGTTCCGTGTCTAGTGGAAAATTAGGGTGAGGGAGCTGGGGTGGGGAAATCACCCCTCCCGAAGGTTCTAGGCTTATATTTTACCTTTTTCTTTCAGGACCTGGGCTGAAGAGATGGGGGGCAGCAGCTGTGGGCCTGGGGCTCACCTTATTCACCTGCGGCCCCCACAGTTTGCATTCTCTGATCACCATCTTGGGAACCTGGGCCCTCATTCAGGCCCAGCCTTGGTGAGAACTAGGTGGTGAGAAAGGAAAGACGATGCAGAGAAACAGCAACCTGTTTCCTCCTCGGGCCTTCCGTTTCTTCTCCTCTAGTCTCTTGCTGTCTCCTGTTAATCTCATGTGCCTTAGCTGCTTTTTTCTTCCTCTCCCACCTTGTTCTGTACCTTCTCGCCCCTGCATCTTTGCCCCAGTCCTCGATATCCATGTGACAGACTTTCATAACCCAGTCCTGAGCTCTGGATCTTACAGAGGGTTGAAATACCTTCTTCAAGAAGCCTCTCTTAATGCCCCTCCTTCTTTTCTTATTTCTGGCTGTGCCTCTTCTGTCTCTCTCATCCACCAGTCCTCTCACCTGTTGTTCTTTTCTGTCTGAATGGGTGGGTGGGAGGTGGGATGGGATAATGAAGCCAGACTCAGGAGAAGGAAACAGAGGCTAAGGTCCCTGTACCCAACACTACGACTTCCCACCTCTGTCCTAGCTCCTGCCATGCCCTGGCTCTTGCCTGGACCTTCTCCTATCTCCTCTTCTTCCGAGCTCTCAGCCTGCTGGGCCTGCCCACTCCCACGCCCTTCACCAATGCTGTCCAGCTGCTGTTGACACTGAAGGTGAGACTTGGGGAACACTACTTCCTTTAGTCTCCCTGGGAGCTGGGGAGCCTCTTGCTTTCTCCCAGACTTTATCATGGTGGAGGGTGGAGGGTATGGAGTTTTATCTTTCACAAACCCTAAGCTTGGGACTTCACTTCTCCCTGGGGACAGAGTTCACCTCTCACATCCTCTGGAGCAGGTCTTCACCTTTCCACTCATTGCAGGGTAAGGAGATAACCCGAGTGCTCTATCACAAGCCATTTGGCACACCTAGAATGTACCTTGCCAGTGTGCTTTGCTAACATGCTCTTCTTGAGTCTGTAGCAAACCATTCTCCAAGGAGGAAAATTACTCTGGAGAGAAGGTATCTGGCCCAAGGGCACAAAGCTGGGACAGAGTACAGTTGTGGTTTTTCATTTTTGAAACAGAGACTTATGTAGCACCCTATGTTGGCCTCAAACAAAGAAAAGATGATGTTGAACTTTTGATTCTGCCTCCAGCTCCCAAGTGCCAGGATTGTTGGCATACACTGCTGTCCTGGTTTATTATGGTTCTAGGGACTCAAACCAAGGACCTCAGCACACTAAGCAAGCACTTGACCAAATGAACTACATTGTTAGCCGTGGGTCTGAATCTTAATCACCTAAGAAAAGGGCAAGAGTGATTGGTCCTCAGTCCCTAGTCCAGATCACATCAGTTGTGAGCTCTTGCTATGTTCTAGGCTCCAGCAGCATAGCCATGGACAGTCCAGCCATGTTGAAAACTAGTTTCTCCAGAGTTCTTATGGCAAACCCAACATTAGGCAGAGATTGGTCAGCTGTGCATTGGAAGAAGCGCCTTTGGGTGTGTATGGACCTGCACATGTAAATAGGAACAGGCTGGGCGTTGCAAACTGTGCTCGCCATGTCCACCCACTTTCTGACTACGTGTGGTTGAATGGGCAGCAGAAGCCAGGCCACAAGGGACTATGTTGCCCACGATAAATATGGACTTTTTCCTATAGAGGGCTGAGATCCCTCAGGAAGAAGTTTGTTTGTTGTTTACTTCTAGGCCAGGAGACAGGACACAACAAATTTGTCTCTTTGATAATAATTTGCCATGGGTGCTGAGAGAATTAAATGGAATGAAATGGGTTGAAACAGGATCCATTTATCAAAATAAAGATGGGGCCAGAGAGATGGCTTAGAGGGTAAGAGCACTGGTCCTGAGTTCAATTCCCAGCAACCACATAGTGGCTCATAACCATCTATAATACAATTTGGTGTCCTTTTCTGGTGTGCAGGCACAGGTGCCGGCAGAATACTATATGTAAACAATAAATAAATCTTTAAAAAAAATAGCAAAGCATGGTAGTACATGGATGTAATCCCAGCATAAAAAGATACCTCCAAGATGGACATGGTAGCACATGCCTTTAATCCCAGGACTTGGGACACAGAGACAGACCTCTGTGAGTTGAGGCCAGTTTGGTGTACAAAGAGAGTTCCAGGACAGCCAGGGCTATTTAGACAGACTCCGTCGCCAAAAATAAAAAGATCCTTCCCCTCAAAAATAAAAACCGATTAGAGAGAGAGATCAGTGGTTGAGAACACTGCTCTTCCACAGGTCCTAAGTTTGGATCCTGACACCCAGACTGAGTGGCTCTCGAATAACAGTTACACCAGCTCCAGGAGATTTGACATCCTCTTCTGGCCTCTGGGCATCTGCACACATAGACCATACACCCAGAGACACAAAATGAAAAGGACAAAAAAAAAAAAAAAAAAAAAAAAAAACCCAAAAGGCTAGTATGGTGGTGCACAGTGGTAATCCCAGCAGCAGTTGGGAAGTGAAGGCTGGAGGATGAGGAATTTGAGAATAATTGGGATTATATAATACCCAGTCTGGAAAAAAAAAAGTCTAGGTGACTCTGAAAGCAGCTTGATAGATATACACTGTGACTGTAGGCAGGTGACTCAGAGTCACGTGAGACATGGTACTTTGAGGATGAATAGAGGGTTTTGGTCTATGACAATGGCTTGGTGAAAAGAAGACACGATTTTTTTTTAAAAAAAAAAAGGTGGTGGACCAATAGGTGGGTCAACTGTATGTTGTGGAGCCTAAAAGGGAAAAGTGTTTTTAAAACCCCATCCTACTCTGGAAACCATCGTGCAGGAGAAGCGCTGGCTTTGTTCTCTTGCCTCTCTCCATCTGCTGGGGCTCTGTCCATGGAGACTAACATGAAGCAGGAGGACACAGATGTGGCCTTTTAAGAGTTTTGTCTCTGGCTAAAATGGGTTGAGTAGATCTGGAAAGGCAGTTGGGACATCTTCACCCCCCTGCCCCTACCCAGTGGAGTCAGAAAGGAACATAATCCCAGCTCTCCTAAAGGGGAGCTGGGAGGATCAGAAGTTCAAGGCCAGCCTTAACAACTTAGCATGTCTTTGTTTCAAAATGTGAAAGCAGGGAGAGGGACCTGGGATGTGGCTTAGTGTTACAGCACTTGCATAGCATATTCAAGGCCCTGTGTCTGAGTCCTAGTACCAGAAAGAAGAAAGGAAGGGAGGTAGGTAGGCAGGCAGGCAACCAAGCAAGTTGTGAAACTGTATGAAAGCAGAAAGGAGGAGGGGGAGGGGAAGAAAAAGAAGAAGAGAAGAGAAGAAAAGAGGAGGAGGAGGAAGAGAAGGAGGAGGAAGATGCATGAGCTGGATCGAATCCCCTAGCACATAGGGCTTCCTTGTCTGGCCACAGTGGGAGAGGAAGCACCTGACTCTGTAGAGACCTGGTGTCTTGGAGGGAAGGAGGCACCCTCTCAGAGGAGAAGGGGGTGGGGTGGGGGAGGGACTGGGAGAGAGGACAGCATTTAGGTTGTAAATAAATATTTTTTTTTTAAAAGAAGTTAAAAAAAAGAACAAGAAAAAGGTCTAGAACTGAGCCCTGGGGATAGCCACCAACTGAAGGTTTCTTCTACCACTCTTGATATGCAGTGCCATCCATGAGGTAGGACCTCAGCCTTACTCATAGGCTGAAATAAATGGATGTGAAGATGGCCTGGGGACTCCAATCACTTGCCTTCCTCTCTCTTCCCATAGTTGGTGAGTCTGGCCAGTGAAGTCCAGGATCTGCATCTGGCCCAGAGAAAGGAAATAGCTTCTGGCTTCAGCAAGGAGCCTACCCTGGGCCTCCTGCCTGATGTCCCTTCTTTGATGGAGACCCTCAGCTATAGCTACTGTTACGTGGGAATCATGACAGGTAAGCAGCCTGCCCAGCACTTCTGGGTCATCCTCTGCTTCTTATCCAGAGTTCTGTTCCTGTTGTATATCCCAAGTTCTGTCCTAGGCTACCTGTACTCTGTCAGCTACTGTCCTGTCAGAGCACATCTGTCTACTGTGGGAACTGACCCTGAAGGATTGCTTTTTCTCCTGCTAGGGAGCCAATAGGAGAGTTAAAGGAGATGGGCCTATGTAAGCCTGCGGTTTCTGCCATCCATGGAGCAAATATTCACAACTCAGGATCTTTCAAGTTTCAGAAAATATATCTTTTTCTAAGGGAGTGGGATGCTAGGGCTACACTAGTTCAAAGATTGAACCTAGGACCTTATATGTGCCAGGCAAATGCTCAAGAATTGAGTTATATCCTAGCCGTTTGGTTTGGTTTGGTTTGGGCAGGGTCTCACTGTATAGCCTATGTTATTCTGAAACTCTCTTTGTAGCAGGATGGCCTCAGACTCAGAGATCTGCCTACCTCTACCTCACAAGTAAACTCTTGACCTCTTTGTTTTGTTTTGTTTCTTTTTCAAGACAGGGTTTCTCTGTATAGCCATGGCTGTCCTGGAACTCACTCTGTAGACCAGGCTGGCCTTGGACTTACAGGGATCATCTGTCTGCCTTTGCCTCCTGAGTGCTGAGGTTCAAAGGTGTACACCACCACGGCCCAGCAACTTTATCTTGAGACAAGACCTCTATAGGTAGGCCTTGACCATTTGATTGTCCTACCTCAGCTTCTTGGAGAGATGACATTACAGGAGTATACCACCTGACCTGACTCAGAAAGTCATCATGATGGGTTTATTTGGTGCTAGGGACTGATGCCAGGGCCTTGTGCATGCCAGGCAAATGTTCTACCAAGTGGCTACAGTGCTAGACTTACCTCATAGGTGTTGGCTTTGTTCCTTTGTTTTTAATTTTTTTAAATGCTCTCTCTCTCTCTCTCTCTCTCTCTCTCTCTCTCTCTCTCTGTGTGTGTGTGTGTGTGTGTGTGTGCGCGCGCTTGTCTCTATGTACTCCATGTCACAGTGCACATAGAGCCTAGGAGAGGGAGTGGATTCTCTGAAACTGAAGCTACAGATATAAACCACCTAACATGTGGATTGGGACCCACACTTGGGGCTTCTGGAAGAGCAGTAAACATTCTACTTCCTTATCTCTCCAGCCCCCTTTGTTTTGTCTGAGGAAGGGTCTCCCAATATGGATAATCTAGGCCGGCCTTAATTAAACTCAGGACCTGGCTCAGCCTCTCAGGGTCTCAGATTCCAGAAATACACCACCATGCCTGCCACATTCCTTATCTGTTTCTGTTGTTGTATGTGACACTGGGGATTGAACCCAGAATCTATGCATGTTAGACAGATGTTCTACCACTGAACTATATTCCTCAGCCCTGGTTTTCTTTTTGTCTATTTTTTTTATTACAACCTTATGGGGCTGTTATTCACATGTGATCCATTTAAAATGCCCCAACTCACTGGCTTTTATACATCCGTAGACTTGTGAAACCATCACCAGTGTGTATTTGTTTGCAGAACAGCCTCGTCTTTGAAAAGGAGTCACCTAACCTTTAGTCATCAGCACCAAACCTCTTCCACCCCTGCAGACCATTGATTGACTTGTGTCTGTAAAGATGTCTCATGTAAATGGAATCATACTCATGGTCTGTGGTGAACACACAAGGGCTTTAGCACCTGTCCTTCATTCATTCCACATAGATGCTTCCTGGTCTATATCCCATCATACCTCAAGAACTTCAAGTCTCTCCTTTCCCTGCCTGTCTCCCCTCTACCACCCAAGCCCTCTCAGCATCCAGAAGGAGCTGTTCAGGAGCCAGCTCTTCCCTGTAGGGGTATCTACACCGGTTTCCTGGTATCTGTCCCTCTCCCTCCCCCTTCCCTTTGGTCACCGTTTACCAGCTCTCCATGTCTCCCTTACTCGGTGGTTTTGAGCTCTTTCTATTTACAGACCTACTGTCCTCAACTCCTTCTCTCACTCCCCTTCCCCTTTTCCCATCTCCATGCTCCTCCTTTCACCCTCACCTCCCCAGTAGGCTCAGAAACACAGCATCCAACCACCTGCTCCTTGCCACCCTCCACAGGCCCATTCTTCCGCTACCGCACCTACCTGGATTGGCTGGAACAGCCCTTCCCGGAAGCCGTGCCCAGCCTGAGGCCCCTGCTGCGCCGTGCCTGGCCAGCCCCGCTCTTTGGCCTGCTCTTCCTGCTGTCCTCCCATCTCTTCCCACTGGAAGCTGTGCGTGAGGACGCCTTCTACGCCCGCCCGCTGCCCACCCGCCTCTTCTACATGATCCCGGTCTTCTTCGCCTTCCGCATGCGCTTCTACGTGGCCTGGATTGCGGCCGAGTGCGGTTGCATTGCCGCGGGCTTCGGGGCCTACCCTGTGGCTGCCAAAGCCCGGGCCGGGGGCGGCCCCACCCTCCAATGCCCACCCCCTAGCAGGTCAGGCGGCGGGAGGGAGGCTTCCCAAGACCCAGCAGGCCCCACCACCAAGGGTTGGCTCTGCCCCTAGTAGGGAAGGGAGCAGGGTGTAGGGCTACCAGTAATGGTTGGCAGCATATTGCCTCCCCTGGTGACTATCACCTCCCTTCCCTGGCCACTAGGGAAACTATGTGTTCCTGGTTTCTACAAATTGCCCCCTGTTGCTAGCACTTGTCACCCCTCAGTATGGCTAATTGTCCTCTATTGCTAGAGAAAGGAAAATGATATCTTAGCAACGACATGCCTACCCTGTGTTGCCATGGAAGAGTCACCCCAAGGTCCAGGCTGTTCTCAGTTGCTAGAGATAATATCCTTTGGTAGTAGTGGTCCATCATCTGTTGCTAGGGAAACAGTTCCTTAGCAATTATATAGCCCCTCTGCTGAGGATGCCGTATCCCTAGCAACCATGGTTCCTTCCTTCCTGCTGAGAGCCCTGCTGTTTGTGGCTGTGAAATCTACACACACCCCCGCCCCCAACTGCCTGTCTTGCTTAGAGCCAGCAGCTCACCATGGGATGTTCTCACACAGCATCTCCCAGTTGCCCTATTTCTAAGAAAGTAACATCTGTAGCTGCTCTCCTCCAGCTGTGGAGAGCACCACTCTCAGCAACCACAGGTTGTCTTCCCCTAATTGCTGAGGCTTTCCTTTTACCAGTAAAGCTACCCCAACCCCCAGCAACATCATTGCTTGAAAAGTCACAAGACTAGTAACTATAAGGTTCTTACGACTTAGGAAGCACCACTCCTTGTTGATAGGGAAATGTTTTCCCTAGCAACGTAGTGAACTGAATCTCTGTTTCTAGAATTCATTGTCAGCCTTCCTGCTGGGAAATAGGATTACAGCCTCTCCTAAATTGTAGACCACTCCTTGGTAGGGTTGTATCTCCCCCTGATTGTTATAAACTGCCATCCTGTTCATGATAATGGCACCCCCCCCATATAAACTGATTGACACTGCCCTAGTAACTATGGATGGACCACCCACTGCTAGAGAGAAGGTGTCCTACAGTGAAGTCAGGCAGAGATTAAATGCTGTTTTAAATCTACAAGTCCCACTGGTAAAGGATGCCTTCCCTCCCCTGTCCAAAAACCATTGGACATTCACATAGGCTAGCATCTTTCTCTGACAGTTTTGGTCAGAGATCTGGAAACCTCTGATGTTTCTGGAGTCGTGACACTTCTCGAACAATCACAGGGACCAGGGAAGAGGCCCATTCTGAAGAGATTTTTCTGAACAGCCTGGGCCTTGTTGCTAAGGAATGCCTTTTCCCTAGCAACAGAGATCATTGAGAGTCACAAGGCCTAGAATATCTCCCTAGCAACCATGAACCATCTTTTTAGAGTGGATGCTTTCCTGGCAGCTGCTCTGCCCCACAGTTCAGAAAGGACCATACTTAGAAACTATTCAAATATTACTGAGCTTGGTTGCCAGTGGACCTGATAGCTTAGCAACCATAGCTCTTCAAAGATTTTTGTGGCTGTATCAGGCCCTGCTAGTTGCCAAGAGCACCCCACCATTAGTGAATTGTGCCCCACCCACCCGGCTCCCTCTGCCCTATCCTCCCCAGTGGCCCTCAAAAATCACAGCCAAAGAGGGAGCCGTCACCTTGTCTAGAAACCCCTCTTTAGCATCGGGCTGGGACAGAAGCAGGTGTCAGGAGGGGCCTGGCTGAGCTGCATGTCTGTCCCCATCCTCATCCCCACCCCCACCCCCACCCCCAGTCCGGAGATTGCAGCTTCCCTGGAGTATGACTATGAGACCATCCGTAACATCGACTGCTATGGCACAGACTTCTGCGTGCGTGTGCGGGATGGCATGCGGTACTGGAACATGACCGTGCAGTGGTGGCTGGCACAGTACATCTACAAGAGCGCACCTTTCCGCTCCTACGTTTTGAGGTGAGGCAGCCTACCTGGTATCAGAGATAGTGCAGAGCTTTATCTCCCAGTACATTCTGCGGTAGTCTGGGGTTTTCTCTAACTGGGCCCTAAGGCCCAGGGCTTACAGAAGTTATAGTTTCTTGGGCCTTCTGAGGCAAATCCTCTGGGCCTACCTCATTCAAGTGTAGTCAGTAGTCAGTCTTGGATCCCAGAAATTGATGAGCTCAGGTCATCAGGCTACAGGTATCTTTACCCCTTGGGCTATTTTGACAGATCTTGTTTGTTTTTAGACAGAGCTTCATGTAGGCTAGGCTGACTTTAATCTAGATTGGTAGCTAACTGACTTTCAGAACTGTCTTTGTGATGCAGGTGTGCACTACCATGCCTGGCTTGTAGGTTTCTTGAGATAAGATCTCATTCTGTACCGCTGACTGGTCTCTGCTTGTTACATAAACCAGACTGGTCCTCAAACTTCAGCTCCCTTCCTGTCTCCGCCCCCTCAGTGTTGGGATTTCAGGTTTGTGACACCATGCTGGCCAACTTTGTTGGGTTTGTTTTTTTTTTAACCTACTTCTTTTCCATCCACCGTCTTCCCATTTTGCTCAAGTGTCTGCAGAACAGGTCTCTGCCACTCAGTGATACCTTCAACCCATCCAGTGGCCTGAGTGGTAGGACCTGCAGACCAGTCCTCAATCTGACCAACTTTGAAATTGTTCTCATTCTTCTGGGTTTGTTTTGTTTGTTTGTTTGTTTGTTTGTTTGTTTGTTTGTTTTTGAGGTCAATACTCAATCCTTTCCAAACTGCCAGGTGTGACCAGTGGCCACAGAGATACCATCCCCTGCTAGGTAGTTAATGACAACAGTTTATGAGCTAGATTTGCCCAGCCATGATGGGAACTGTGGTTTAAAGAGCCACTCTGAGAAGCTGGAGAGGAGACTCAGTGATTAAGATTGCGTAGGCTCTTGCAGAGGACCCTAGCTCAGTTCCCAGCATCCATATCAGGGTTACAGCCGCTTGTAACTCCAGCTCCTAGGCGTCAGACACACTCATTCTGACCTCCACAGGCACTGCTCTCATCTGCATGATTCCCACTTGTGTGAGTGTGTGCACATGAGCGAGTGCACACACACACACACAATTAAAAATGAAACTTTCTTTTTTAAAAAAATACTCACTCTGAATCAGGCATGGTGGCACACACTTATAATCTCAGCACTCAGGCTGTGAGGCAGGAAGTTTGACATCTTAAAAAAAAGAAAATCAATGATGCACTGTATGACTGATGCTCACCAGGCCCTGGACTCCATCTCCAGCATCATAAAAAACTAGAAACAATCTGATCTGGCTCTGTTGGGAGAATGCATGGGAGGGTGTGGGTGTCAGGGGTGAACCAGGGAGGTGAATGTGAGCCTTTGGGTGTCCAGATAGGTGTAATGGAGGGAAGAGGTTCTTCAATAAGCCTGACACTGGCTTTGAGGGGAAGAGCTGGGGGCTTAGGGTGCTCAGCAGAGAAAGAAATGAAGCCTGTTTCCCAGGCAGTGGGTTGTCAAGTGACCCAGGGCACAGGAGAGCCTTTCCAGAAAAGGACCTAGCAGGAAGAAGCTGTTGGGACATGTGTAAGGAAGAAGGACTTGAGTTTTATCTCATTAACTTAAAGACTATCAGATATCCTCCTGGGGATCATTGCAGAGGTAGACGGTAATGTGATGCTGGCACTTTAGGAAGAGGTGCTAGAAGGAGACACTGAAGCCAAGCTAGGTGATGCTCACTGCACTGGGCAAGGGGCTGGTAGTTAAAACAAGAGGATTCTCAGTTCAAGGCCAGTCTAGATAACAAAGTGAGACGCTGTCTCCCAGCAACAACAACAATAAAAACAAACAAACAAAACCCATGCTGATGACATGATTTAACCTGTAAAGGCACTTGGCACCAAGCAAGATCGTCTCCAAGAAATACATGGGGGAAGGAGAGAACTGACTACACCAAGTTGTTCTCTGAACCATAAACATAATTCATGGCACACAGGAGCACATACACACATACATGGATGAATAAATAGATGTTAGAGTATGGGCTGGGGATGTTTGTAATTCAGTTGGTAGTAATTGCAAGTGGTGTACGTATGTAATAATACCGCTTGGAAAGTGGAGACAGGAGTTTGCGGCAAGCTGGGCCTACATGGAAACCCTGTCTTTTAAAAAAGGGCATTTGAAAAAATAAATAAATAAATAAATAAATAAATAATTTTTAAAAAAAGGGCATTTGAGTGTTACCAGTTATAGATGACACTATTAAAGCCCTGAGGATCAGAGTCAGGTCAAAGCCCAGGGCACCCCAGTATTTTGATCATTTATTATTTTCAATCAGCAGTAATTATGCTATACCCTCAGGGAACATAACATCTGGAGGCTTTTTATGTTTCCAGGGTCCCAGGTGTACCAGGCCAGTGCTTCACTACTGTCTTAGTAAGGGTGCTCTCAATGGCTTGCTCAGTTTGCACTCAGTAGCACTGCCCATAGCAGGCTGGGTTCTTCCACATCAGTCATCAATCAAGAAAATGCTCCACAGACTTGCATAGGCCAATCTGATGGGGTTATTTTCTCAATTGAGATTTTCTTTTCTCAGGTGACACTAGCTTGTGTCAAGTTGACCAAAATAAATGAAATTAAAAATTTAAAAAACAGCAATAAAATAATGCAGGACAACTTTGGGAGACTTTTTCCCCCCCTACGGCTGAGAGATTTCCTTAGCATTTACAAATAGTTACCCTGCTGCCTCTCATCATAATCCAGTCAACATGGTTCTGTCATTGCAGAGAGTTGCTTTGTCGAGAGAGGCAAGTCTCTAAGCAAGAAAAGAACCCATGAGCTCATGGTCCTGCCTGAATTGTTGATCACTGCTCCATTGGAGAATGCAGTAGACACTGCTTCACTCTCTGTCCTCCTTAGCAGAGAGTCAGAGCCTGAATTTGTGGACTGAAAGGTTAGGGAAGTAAGTTTTGGAAAGATGGCTCAGTGGTTATGAGCACTTGTTGCTCTTGCAAAGAATCTGACTTTGATCCCCAACACACACTTAACAGCTCACAACTTTATCTCCAGAGGAGTCCTCTTCTGGGCTCCAAGGGTTTTGAGCATGCACAAAGTACTCAGACATACACACAGGCAAAAAACCCAAACCATCATAATTCCAGTTCCAGAGGATCCGACACCCTCTTCTGACCTCAGATGCTGGCACATGGTACACACATGTACATTTAAAATGTAATTATTAAGAAGCTATCTCAGCGTGCTAGGGATGCAGCTTAGTGGTGCATTATTGCCTGGTGTGTGCAGGGTCCTGAGTTCAACTCCCAGTGACAATGCTAGCTAGCCTCCTTGACTTTCAGGATGCAGGAAGGAAGGGTGGGCATGAACAAATCAGTCTGAGGGAGGAGGGCTGAGCTCTGTACTCCTGGGTTTGAGGAAGGGACTGAAGCTTGGACTTGTGTGTCCTGACTCAACATCTTCCTCCAGGAGTGCCTGGACCATGCTGCTGAGTGCCTACTGGCATGGCCTCCACCCTGGCTACTACCTAAGCTTCATGACCATCCCGCTGTGCCTGGCTGCTGAGGGCTATTTGGAGTCAGCCTTGCGGAGACATCTGAGCCCCGGGGGCCAGAAAGCCTGGGACTGGGTCCACTGGTTTCTGAAGATGCGTGCTTACGACTACATGTGCATGGGCTTTGTGCTTCTTTCCATGGGTGACACACTCCGGTACTGGGCCTCCATCTACTTCTGGGTCCACTTTCTAGCCCTGGCCTGCCTGGGGCTGGGGCTGGTTTTGGGTGGGGGCAGCCCCAGCAAGAGGAAGACACCATCCCAGGCCACCACCAGCCAAGCCAAGGAAAAGCTCCGGGAAGAGTGAGCTGTGCTGTATTGGCCTGCCATCCAGTTCAAGCTTTTCTTGGAAATTCTGTGAACCAGGCTATTTTTTCCTTTAGCCAGCAAGAATCCCTTGTTTGGCTAAGAGCCTGGAGAGGATTCCCCCTTCCCCGCTAATTCCTCTGCTTCCTATTTAAAGCTAGGAATACCCTTCTCCTGGGTTCTCCCTGCATCTTGACATTTTCAAACCTCCCTCTGCTAACATCAGGGTGTTACTGTCTACTCTTGGCCCTATTATCTCTGCAACAATCTTCAGATGTTCAAAAAGCCACACTTCCCAAAATGCCATTGCAGGGACCAATGGTCATCTGGCATCTTAGACAGACTCCCAGTGGGTCCCTAGTATTGGGGCAGGAACTTCTGGGAGAGGGGAGGGATACCCTTCTTCTTTTCCTCTTTGTTTTTATCATCAAACAAGTGTTTCAAAGACTGTGGTCTTACACATCCTGAAGGAGAAACTGAAATGTGCAAGTGAAAAGCCCCAGGGGAACATGCTCTTATAATAGCTTCTGTCTGAGCCATTTCTGGGCTCCCCATACAACCTACCACCCAGTGTCATCCTTGGCCTGTGACAGGCCAGAGTGTATAAATCTTTCCCAATAAAGTGTTACACATGCATCTGTTTGTGAGTATAACTGTGGGTGACAAACCGAAGACACTTACTTAACCCAGAATGCCAGTGTGGCATAATGAAGTCCCAGCTGCCATGAAGTTTCCAGGCTCAGGAGGCTGTAAGGACTTCAATTCCCAGGAGACCTTTATAGGAAGTGTACGGTAGTCACCCAGGCCACCTAGTGGCCAGGTGCAGACCTGCAACAGGCCCCTCCCTCACCTAGGGCAGTCCCCGCCCTGGGGGCCTCTAGAGACGGAAACAACTGTGCAGAAAGTACAGTTCATCCACAAACATGGAAGAAAGTCCCAGGGAAGCCTGGGGCCAATCCCCAGCCTGGTCTAGCTCCCGGAAAGCCAGAACAGGTAGGAGAGAGTTCTGAAAAGTCAGGTCCATTCATAAAGAAAAGAGGAAGCCGAGTTCCTGAACCTGAGAACCGAAGCGGAATTTCATTTCCTGGGTTTCCTGAGAAGGAAACTCAGATCTCCCGAAGAAGAACAGAGACCTAGTTACAGTCTTGGAGGAGAGAGTCAGGGACTAGGTCCCTAATATCAGATATATTGAGGGGCCGGGGTTCCAAGCGCACCAGTAAGGGAACAGGAAGTTGTTGAAGTTTGGGTTCACACTTAGGGTAGAAGGGAAATGGGAGTTCATACCTAGAAAGTCTGAGAGGAGAGTCTAGGGCCCTGAACCCCAATTTGAAGGAGAAATGATGGGATCTAGAGCCCTGAATCTGAGGGAAGAGTCTGGACTCCTGCGTCTGAGGGAGGTGACTTGAGACCTGTACCCCTGTGTCTGAGAGAAAGTGGGCTGGGGCCTGGAGCCCTGTATCTGAAGAAGAAGATTGGGGCATGGGCTCCTGGGTCTAAGGAAGAAGTCTGAGGGAGGTGGCCTAAGGCCTGTACCCTAGCGTCTGAGAAAGGCTAGGCTAGGGCCTGGACTCTGGGTCTGAGGAGAAAGGATTATAGCCTGGACTCCTCTGTCTTTCAATCTTTTGTTTTCATGCCCAGGCCCATCACTGGCCTCTATGCTGAATGATCTCCCCAGTGCTGCTACCCTTCGATACCGCGGCCCTGGTGTACTCCCTTGGGGAACACTGGATGAAGATGATGATGGTGGAGGAAGGAGCCTTCAGGCCTTTGCAGAAACTGCCCAGATGGAATCTCGCCCTTCCCGGGAGCTTCCCTGGCCTATGCAGGCAAGGCGGGCACACAGGTGAGCACCTCTTTTCTGACACACCCTCCTATAGGATAACTCCTTTCCTGATTTCAGTAGGTTTTTCTCTTTACTGCCTTGCCACCAGCCTGCTAGGGTTGGCCTGGGCCTGCTCTGAACCTTGTATTAAGAGGCTCAGGAAGACATAATCATTTTTTTATTTTTGTTCCTTCCCCTTCTCCCAAACTTCCTTCTTGGTGTTTACTTTTGTTTGTTTTTTCTTTTCTACATTTGTGTGTGTGTGTGTGTGTGTGTGTGTCTGTCTGTCTGTCTGTCCCTAAGAGCATGCATGCGTGTGACACAGCTTTCTGTGACACACAGGGGACAACTTGAAGGAGTCAGTCCTCTCTCTACGATCTGAGTCTCAGGGAGTTGGTCACAAATGTCCTTACTTGCCAGCCATTTTGTTTTATTTTGTTATGACAAAAACAGTGAGGGTCACACTCTGTGACCCAGGATGGCAAAAAGCACTATTTATTCCATATTTATCCCAAGCTGGCCTCTAATTTGCACTAATCCTTTTAACCTCTTCTCCCAATTGAGGGGACTACAATCAATAATGGTGTGCCACACTGGACTCCTTCCACACTGGACTCCTTCTTTTTCTTTCAAAAGCATGTCACTAATCTGCCAGCCTGTCCTGGGATTCTCAATTCCCCTGCCTCAACCTCACTGTAGGGATTACAAGCATACAGTACTATACATGGCTCTATCATTATTTTATGTGTGACTTCTTACGTGTAAATTAGATTTGATTTCTTTTTAATTGCTAAAGAGTATTATGGATACAGTATACCACAATGTCTATCTCATTATATTGAGCTGTTTCTGTCTTTGGGTGGTTCCCAGTTTGTAGTTTCCAAGCCCTTCATTTTCTGACTCTGACTCTGCTCTCTTTCCAGGAAGAGCCAAGCTAGAGAGCAGGTGGTTCCTGGCTCTGAATCTAGGGCTGCCTACTGGACCCGACAGCTTTCCAGGACCAAGGGGAAAATGAAAGAAGGCTTTCAAACTATACAGCCCTGGGCATGGACACTGAAGAAAATTGGGGGTGTGCTGGGCTTTAAAGGAAGAGGCCTGGGGCCTGGACTCCTGGGGTCCGAGGCCAGAGTGTGGTTTCCTGGGTCTGACAGAAGGTGGGGTGGAGATTACCCCTGGGCTTTATGGAAAAGGACTGGGTCCTGCACCCCTGGTCTGAATGATGAAGGCTAGTGCCTGAACTCCTCTGAATCAGAAAGAAGAAGACTGGGAGTCTGGGATTCTGGGTCTGAAGAAGGGGGCTGGTTCCTGGACTCCAGGATCAGGCCAAGAGACAGCTGTGTTATAGATTCCTGGGTCTGAGGAAGGAGGGTTGGGTCTGAGGGAGGAGGGTTGGATCTGAGAGAGAAGGGCTGGGTCTGAGGGAGAAGGGCTGAGGCCAGGACTCTGGGTCAGAACTGCGCTGGTGAGGAACCTGAGGCCGCTCTGCTGCCCCCTGCAGGCCAGTTTGGAGCAGGCACTGAGTCCTACTTCTCCCTGCTGCGCTTCCTGCTCTTTCTCAACCTGGTGGCATCCGTGATTGAAGTCTGCATGAAGCTGATCCCTGCCTGGTTGGAAGGGGCTCCTCCAGGACCCCCTGGCCCTAACATCTCCTCATCCTGTGGTTCCTACATTCCACACACTCACGGCCTGGTCGCCTTCCCCACCCAGCTCTTCAACTTGCTCTCTGGAGAGGTGGGTGCCATGGTCCCCAGAGGAACCTCCTTACTTTTGAAGGCTGGTGTCCTGGATGACACATTGTACAGATGAACTAGATCCCTGATCTTTACCTCGGCCCAGCCCCACCATGACCTTTGCTCTGCCTCTTCCTCCCCAGGGTTACCTAGAGTGGTCCCCCCTGTTCTATGGGTTCTACCCACCCCGATCGAACCTGGCCATCACCTACCTGTGCTCCGTCTTTGCCATCGGCCTCATCTACTTGCTGTTCATCCTACACCGGTTCGTGATGCCCACATCCTGATTCTGATAGGAAGGGAGGAAACTGGAGGTGGTAGAGGCCCCCTCCCCCAGGACCTATGTCTTCAACATTGATCTATTTTTTTTTTTTCGAGACAGGGTTTCTCTGTGTAGCCCTGGCTGTCCTGGAACTCTTGAACTCAGAAATCTGCCTGCCTCTGCCTCCCAAGTGCTGGGATTAAAGGCGTGCGCCACCACCGCCCGGCAACATTGATCTATTTTAAAGCCAGGTGTGGAGGTCCAAGCCTTCAGTCTTGTCACTTAGGAGGCTGAGGCAGGATGATTATTTTGAGTTCAAGATCAGCCTAGGCTACAGAGTAAGTTGAAGGCTGCTCTGAGCTACACAGAAAGATCCTGTCTGGCTGAGTATGCCTTTAATCTCGGCACTCAGGAGGCAGAGGCGGTAGATTTCTGAGTTCAATGCCAGCCTGATCTACGTAGAGAAACTGTATCTCAAAAAGAAGAGGAAGGAAGGGAGGGAAGAAGAGAGGGAGGAAGGGAGGGAGAGAGGGAGGGAAGGAGGGAGGGAGGGAGGGAAGGAGGGAAGAGGGAGTGAGCACAAAACAAGAAGTCCCCTGCCCCCAGCTTATCTAGTCGTAACCTAAAGTGAGGCATTTAATAATCACATAAAAGCCTGTTTAGAAGGCGTGTAATTATAATCTCAGTGCTTGGAAAGCTGAGGCCAGAAGGTTGCTCCAGGCTCCATCTCAAAATATCCAATGATATCAAGAACACTAGGAACACTAGGCTGGCAAGATTTTGCAGTGGATGGGGACATTTTCTGCCAAGCCTGAGAAGCTGAGTTCCTTTCCCAGAACCCCCATAGTAAGGGAAGGAAGCCACTTCCTCCACAGGTTGTCTTCTGAGCACCGCACACACGACATGCCACACTGATGCCATCACATAAACACACAAACATTTCACATAAATAAATGTAAAAAGAGAAAAAAGAATTAGCATGCTAAGCCTACTGGCATGGCTCCTGTCTGTAATCCCAGCACTTGGGAGGTGGAGGCAGGAGGAACAGGAACTCTAGGTTATCCTCTGCTGCAGAGTGAGTTTGAGGCTAACCTGGGTTATGTGAAACCTTGTGTCCTGTTTTTGCCCTTTACATAAATGGAGGGTCTACTCATATATTGTGAGGGAGAGCACCCAGGAATATCAGCTATGAGAGGGATGTAGAAGATAGAAGTTAAGAATCACTCCCTGTGGAGGTATGTTGTTGTTGTTTGTTTTGATAAAGTAGCATGCTGTAGTTTAGGCTGACCTCAAATCTGTTCTGCTGGCGAGACTGGGCTTGAACTCAGCAATCCTCCTGCCTCAGCCTCCTGAGGATTATAGACATATACCAGTGTGCCTGTGGGATGTGTGTGTGTCGGGGGTGGGGGGAGGTGCCGGGGATGGAATCTAGGGTCCTCATGTATGCTAGGCAATTGCTCTGTCACAGAACTGCTCCCACACCCCCAAGCTCTGAGGTAACTTTTAGATGTACAAAGGAAATGCTGAGTGGGTATTTATTTGGGCATGTGGACTCTGCAAAGGGTGAGCACTAGAGATAGATTGTCTCCCTCACACTCTCACAGATGGGGATGGAATCCAGGGCTTTCGAGTTTGCCAGGCAAGAGCTCTGCCACTGAGCTAAATCCCTAACATTGAGAAAGGGATTTGAACTGGCATTCAGATACGACTGAGAGATCCCCAAGGAGGGAAACCAAGTATTTTAAAAGGTGTTAGAGGTGAGGGCTATGGATGTAAAACTGTATGGGGCCATGCTCCCAAACTGAGAAAAGGTATTTTAAAA